ACCTCATTTAGTTTTATATCTTATAGCGTTTATAATGAGGAAAAGATTATATAAGCATAATAATTCATCTGTATACCTAGAAATGTACAGCCAATTTTGAAAGAGATGTACCCTAGCTCAGAAAAATGTTATTGAATAGATTAATGCTGTTGTAATGAAATGCTTCTTCTTAAATAAACCAAAAAAAAACAAATGATCATTCATCGTGATCAAGTTCTCTTAATCCCAGATATGCTGGGATGGTTCTAACACAGTATGCATCAATAAATGTAATCCATCATACAAACGGGTCAAAGGACAGAAACTACATCATCCTATTAGATCTAGAAAAGACGTTAGATAAAATCCAACATTTACTCATGACAAAAGTCATAGAGAACCTAGGGATACTGGGGACAGATCTCAACATAATAAAAGCAATGTACATGAACCCCATGGCCCACATAATACTAAATGGAAAAAAGCTGAGAGCATTCCATTAAAATCAGGAACAAGCCAAGGATATCTACTCTAAATGCTCCACCTAAAAGTCCTAGATCTGATAAACACATTCATTAAAGTATCAATTCCCTAAAACAATAGCCTTCTTATATACCAACAACAAATATACTGTGAAAGAAATCAGGTAAATGATCCTATTCAGGATAACCTCAAAAGTCATAAAATACCTTGGAATAAATCCAGCTAAGGAAGCGAATGAAATCTTTAAGACACTGAAGAAAGAAATTGTAGAAGACACCAGAAAGTAGATCAGTAGGCTAATATTGTGAATATGACCATTCTGTGAATATGAGCACCCTACCAAAGCAATTTACAAATCCATTGCATCTCCCATTAAAATTCCAATACAATTTTTCATAGAAATTGAAAAAATAATCTAAAATTTCATATAGAAACACACATATACACACACACACACACACACACACACACACACAGAACAGGAAAGCCAAAATAATCCTGAACAATAAAAGAACTTCCAGAGGCATTGCCATCCAGAAACTTAAATTATGCTACAGAGCTATAGGGATAAACATAAATATTCAGGACATATTTTGATGACATGTCCATTGACCAAAACAAAATTACTAGGTTCACCCCTACAGCCTGAATTCTCTTCAGCCATGGGCCTTTGACTGCTTCATTGAACTTCCTCCTGTAAAGTAGGCCTCAGACCAAATCTGAAATGAATTGGTTACTCCATAGTAATCATGCCACTATTGTGCAAGTAGACATGCTGCCTGGGGAGTGGAGTTGCAGCATGGTAAAGTCTATTGCTTTCCTCCCCCACCTGTTTGCATAGTAACTTTTGTCAGTACAAAAGCTAACCATCAGGGAGGAAGCTTCCAACTTAGCTCCAGGATAGTTTCTCTTTATTCTGTTTCTCAGTTGTGTGGTGTTTTCAGCAGTTGGGTCTTATCATCCAGTTCTGGTGGCGACCAAGGAAAATAACTATAATGTGCATAGTTCGGGAGGCCTCCTGGGCCTTGCTGGCAAAAACTCCCATGGAGGAATCCCCCACTTTTCACTGAGATTTTCTTTTAATAAACCATGGGTTCTGGGATAGGCATAATCCACCCATGTATGATTCCCTTCATTCAAACTCTTTTAAATTGTGTTTTTCAGTTGGCTTATAAAATAGTGAGTTTTGATGTGGTTTTCCTTAAGTCTGTACTTCTGATTAACCCTCCCTCCATCCTCCATCCCTCAGTTCTATCTCTGTTGAAACCTTGCTATCCCACTATTTCTTACCTCTGTCTTTCTGTGACATTCATTTGACCATCTCCGCCCTCCTTAAAGTTCTCCTACCTCCCCATAGCCCCTTTCTCTCTTCCAGTTCTCTCCAGATATTCTGGGTTAGATAATATAATAGTTTGAATCCATGATCTCTATACCCTTTAAATCTGATTCATAAGAAAAGTAAGCATTAAAATTTTTTTTAATAACTACATGATTAGAAGAAGCATTTCATTACAGCTTTAACATATTCAGTAACACACTCCAGAGCAAGAGCACATCTCTTTCACAAGTGGCTGTAAGTTTCTAGGTTCACAGTTGAATTAATACAGTTATACAATATTGAACTCAGTATAAGTAAGCTTTTTTAAGGCAGATATTCTCTCTCTGACTCTCTCTCTATCTTGTCTCTGTCTGTGTCTCTGTCTCTCTCTTGCTTTCTCTGTGCAAGAGTTCAACATCAGGTATATTTCAATCACTCTCTATTCTTGAGACAGGGCTTCTCATTGAATATGATGTTGCCTGACTGGTTGTACTGGCTGGCCAATGAGCCCCAGGGTCCTCTTGTCTAGATTTCAACTCTGGGAATACAGGCTTTTTCCATGAGGGTTGGGGAAACAAACTCAGATCCTTACACTTCCGTAGCAAGGACTTTACCCACTGTCCCATTTCCCCAGGCCACTAAGAAGAACAAATTATTTAACCAATATTTCTGTGCTATCTTGGGTTAAAGTCCGAAGTTCAGACCTTGAGAGCTGTGTGGATTAAGAACCATCATGAACTGGTCAATGTTGCTATCATTTGCAAATATTTTTTAACACCACTGAACGAATTGCTTTATGTACTTGTTAAAACTCACATGAGTGATCTTATACGCTAACAAACACATCTGCTTGGCACTCTGCAGGTGGAATGTCACCCATACCTCAATCAGACCAAGCTATTGGAGTATTGCAAGTCTAAAGACATTGCGATGGTTGCGTATGCTGCATTGGGGTCCAACAGAGGAAAGGAATGGTAATGATCTCTGTGAAGTTGTTTTAGTCACAGATACAATATGTAACCTCTAAATTCATTACACAGCAGTCTAAGAGAAATGAAAGTGTAGAGGACTTCATCTTCATAAACCTTTACTAATCCACACCAAGATTGTAAGAACTTCCTGAAATGCTTTTTAAAGATTGTATGTGTATGAGTGTTTTGCCTGAATGTATGTAAGTATGTGTGCCTGGTGCCCACAGAGGCTGGAAGATGGTGTTGGATGCCCTGGAAGTGGAGTTCAGATAGCTGTTAGCAACCAAGTGGGTGCTGGGACCTGAACTCATGTCCTTTGGAAGAGCAGTAAGGGTTCTTGACTGCTGAACCAATTCTCCAGCCCTGAGTTCCTGAAAAATTTTTAATAATGAAATTATTAAAGCATTTTTGAAACAGCAAGTTCTCATACAACATATTTATTACCGTGGTGTTCTTTACCATGTAGATAAAACTTCTTGACTCAATCTTTTCCTAAATTCTGAAAAAAGTGTTCTTAAAATTCTAGCTCTTTTTCTTTGATCCATGTATGTGTGCACTCGTGCACCCCCGTGTGCTCGCACATAAAGAAACAAGGCAAATATTGAAACAGCCAAAGGATAATAAAGAAATTCTGGAGGATAAGCTATCACTAGCCTGAATGGGAAGCACTGAGAAAAATGGATATTCATTCTGAGACATGAAGCACCTGCCTTTTGTCTTAGGATAAAGAAGGATAATCCAGTTCTCCTGGAGGACCCGGTTCTCAACAGCATTGCTGAAAAGCACAGAAGAACACCAGCCCAGGTCGCCCTGCATTACCAGTTGCAGCCGAGTGTGCTGGCCCTGGCTAAGAGCTTCAATAAGAGAATCCAGGAGAACTTCCAGGTATGTGGCGGGGTTGGAGCAGGTCTAGGCAGGGCACACCAATTCCTGTTGCTGCAATTTCTTGAAATGTTTTCAATGTATGTACAAGCAGAACTTAAATCATTGTATACTCTCTGCATGCAAGTACTGTGTTTAATGGTGTCATCCTCCATCTTCAGCAAGGAAGAAAATGCAGCTGCTGAAAAGAATTCTAAACAGCGATCAGATTGGGTTCCCAAATTCAGTTTTTGATCTTACATTATGACCCTTTGGTTTATCATCCTTTGTTTTTATTATTATTTATTACTACTTTTTAGCATGTGTATATTTGTGGTGAGCATGTGTGTATATGTGTCCACGTCTGTGCACACATGTCTTGATTCCTTAACCTGTGTCCGAGCCATTTTCTCTTGTTTGAACAGAATACCAGAGAGTGAGTAATTTTCAAAAACAAGTTTACTTGTATCACAGTTACGATGGTAGAAAGGCTAAGACTGGGGAAATATACCAGACGTGGGCCTCAGGTAGAAGACTAGGTACATGTAAAAGGGAAAAAGTACCAGGGGCAGGTTGACTTAAGAACAGTGTACACATCAAGAACCATTTTAGCTGTAAGAGAACATCTACCTGGAGAATTAACCCAGTGACAGTGATACTCCTCATTTCCGAGGGAAGATTCCTCTTCACCTAAACCACTCTTAGAGTCTCACAACTTCTCAACATCCTCATGATGAGTACTAAATGTCATTTTGGAGGAGACAAAGTACATCGAAACCATAGCCAACTATAAAAAGAAGGAGGCAGATCAGGTGATAGTTGGGTGAGAAAATGCCAAGAATTCTTTTGCTGTGACACATCACGCAATACAAACTCTCTAAGGGCAGATTACGCATGTGATTCATGTATCTGAATAGATGAGCTGCATGACTTTAAGTCTATGACAATTGTCTCATAAAAACCTATGTAAATTTCTGCAGAACTTTGTGTGACTATGAGAGGAAAGGAGAGGAAGAATGGATGATTTGGATCAACTAATCTTTTATGTTTCTAACAGGTTTTTGACTTCCAGTTGACACCAGAGGATATGAAAATCCTAGATGGCCTAAATAGAAATATTCGTTATATTAATGATTCCATGTAAGTAACTTTTTCTGTTGAAGACAGTGAGGGACAGGATAGTAGAACACTTTGGTTTATTTCACCTATAGAAGATTGAATCTTTTGCTTCGGAAAATTGTTGGGAATCATTTCTTCTTCAGATCTGACACCTGGGACCTCCTCTGAGACTTGGGGCTCTGTCAAAATTAATATCCTAACAGGGACTGGTAATAGAGCTCATTAGTTGAGAACAACCCTGTGAGGTTTGATGGTCCCTAGTCTGAGGTCAGTGAGTATCAGTCTCTGACATTCAGTATCACAGAGCTCAAGAGCTCTGAAATTCCAGCATTGTACTTGTCATCTCCAGTTGCATCCATCCAGCAGGGTGATTGGGAGGTCTTGAATACAGGTCCTCTGCGTGTAGAGATCTCAGTGTTGTGGCAGATTCCTATGGGAATGCACTTCGGAGATATCCCCCAAATGCTATTCTAGGGACCTTGGGAATCTCTAGATTATTAGAGAACATACCCATCCCATAGATCTAGATTAATACTGTAGGGAGGACTGTGAAACACAGTTTCAATCATCATATACAGGAAAGAATTAATTGCATGAGTGGAACAGATGGACTACAGAGATCTAGGTAGGAATCCATCAGGTCCAAAAATGACATAATTAGCAGCATAAAGAACAAAAGTTGTCTGAACAAACAGAAAGCAACCAAAAACATTAAAGAAATTAGCAAATATCTGTTAGCAATATCCTTAGATGTAAATGGCCTTGACGCTCTAATAAAGAGATGCAAACTGGTTAGCTGATCAAATTATCTGTTGCTTCCAAAGGATGACTCACTTGGAAAGATACTTGAAGACTGGGAGCCAAAGAAAGGAAGTCAGTCTATCATGTGACTAGAAACTATAAACAAGCTGGTGTAGCTACTCATATATGATAATGCAGACTTCAAAGAAAATTAATCAGGAAGACAGAAGGAAGGTCACCACATATGAATAACAGGAACAATTCATGAAAATGATAAATCACTTGTAAATATGTACCCTTTCACTGTTTGGATTCCTAATTTCAAACAACAAATGCTACTGGATGTAAAACATCAATGACAATCGCAGCCAACAATTTCATTACCACACTTTTATCTTTAGATTAGTCATCCAAATGAAAAATCAGTGAAATACCTTCAGAGTTCTATTTGTCATTAGATCAGATGACCATAACAGATATCTGCAAAATATCCCATTCAACAAACATGAAATGTACATACACACCACAGTTTAGGCCACAAATCAAGCCTTAAACAAGTGGAAACAAATCAAAATAATCTCTTATACTCTTAACAGATCAACATGTAATAAAAACAGAAATAAATGGCAAGAAAACTTCAGAAACTATACAAACATGTGGATATCAAATGATACACACAAGAATGGCAAGTGGGTCATTCAAGAAACCAGAAAGCAAATTTTTAAATTCCTCTATTCAAATGAAAATGAACTGGGATGTAGCTAAGGCAGTTTAAGGGGAAAGTTTATAGCTATGAGTTTTTACTGTAAGTAGTCAGAGATATCTCACATAAACAGCATAATAATGCACCTCAAGTCATAGAAGAAGAAGACAAATCTAAAAAATAATGATGATTCAACTAGAAATTAATCAATTGAAGGTTGAAAGAACAATGTATAAAGTCTATCAAACAAAAAAATTGGCTTTTTAAAAAGATACATCAAAAGTGGCAAAACTCTAAACTAACCAAAAGAGAGAGAAAGCTCAGACGAATAAGATTAGAATAGAAAAGGGGCTGTTAGGATAGATCCCAAAAATTTTAGCTGATTCTGAGGGAATACACTGAAAATTAAAACTGGTTTAAGATTCTACCTCGCCCCAAGCAGAATGGCAGTGATTTGGTAAACATACAAAAACAAAAGCTAGCAAGAACATGGGGAAGAGGAACCTCAGCACCTTGCGTGATATAGCCACTATGGAAACCAGCACAAAAGCTTTTAAACTCCACTGGACAAGTAGAGGCCTCCTTGATAATTCTACCTGTTCTCCAAGGTCAAACACAACATACCTAATTTTAGAGCTTTATGCTTTGATGGAAACCCCCCTCATGTTAGGGCTATGAACATCAGTTTCAGCTTAGATCTCTTTACATCTAATTAAACATCCAGCCTTATGTGTTCTGTATGTCAGTAGTTCTCCTTCCTTTATTTCTATCACTAGTACCACTCCCTTTATTCCAGGTCATGATTTCAATTTGTTTGTATTTCAAAAAAGAAAATCCTGTTGCTTTTGTGTCCAAGCTTCACCCAGCGTAGCAGAGACCCACAAAGACCCTCTCTTTCTCTTTCAGGCTTACTTCATACCCAGACTATCCATTTTTTATGACTTGTAGCAACTGAATCTGTGGTTTCGTCAAACTTCTTTGATTTGGGTCGATGTATAGAAAACACCTCAGGAATGAGAAACTGCCTGGCTGACTTTATATTGCTCAGCTGGAGTACCTGTATCAGAGACGTCTCTACACACAGTATTATTCAGCAAAGAAAATAAAGATACGTTTCAAACAGTTTAGCCTCCTACAGTTTGGGCATTTTCTTTTCATTTTGATGTTGTTTGTTTTGTTGGTTTTCCTGTAATGAATTTAAAATGCCAGTAAAGCACCAAAAAATCAAGGGCTGGCAAGATTGCTCCTCCTCAGCTTACTGACTCCCACATGTTATTCTCTGACCTCTGTGCTCCTGCATGCACACACATACACATGAACATACACATAAGACACACAACAAATAAATAAGATGTAATTAAGAAGTTAATCTTTTGGGGCTGGAGAGATGGCTCAGCAGTTAAGAACACTGATGGTTCTTGCAGAAGACCCAGGTTCGATTTCCAGCACCCACATGGCCGCTAACAACGATCTGTAACTCTACTTCCAGGGGATCCAACAGCCTTTCTGTCCTCTGTGGGCATTGCACGGCAGGGGTGCACTTACCTACATGCAGGCAATACACTCATACACATAAAATAAATAAAAACGTTAATCATTTATTATGTCTTAAAATTTTCAGGTAGTCTTTTCACTTGTGTATAGTTTTGGGTTTTTTTTCCCCTTCTGTAACTGTAGTATATAATGCATTTGTAATATGCTTTGAATGGACTGAATTTTTGGTTAATACATACACTAAAGTTGTCCAGATTTCAATTCAAAATACTTATCAAAGTAAATACCAAGAGGAATTTTAAAAAGGGACAAGTTTATATAACTTCACTCAGAAGTTAAAGCTTTTATAGTTATCTGGCAATTATTTTTATAGCAGTCATCAAAAATATGCTGCATCAAGCAATTATCAACCAATAAATGAAAACAATAAAAATTTTATAATTAAAATAGTAATTTCATCAAGTTTTCCAGGTACAATGTCCATCTAAATATCAATCTCATTTCCATATACTATACATTAACAATGGGATCACAGACATCAAAGGACATTTCACTCAGATTAATGGTTGACTAAAAGGGTTAAAAGGTCCACAAGTTTATTATGGAAGCTAGGAAATACCAAAATCTGCTATTTTCAAGATCTTGAATCCATTTTGTTATTAATTTTCAGCACATTTGAATCATCTGATGAAGTCCAATTTGTAAACTTTATGTTTCATGATCATACTTTTGGTTTTAACTCTAAGAATATCACCCAGTCCTAGATTCTAATGTTTTTCCTCTTTGAAGTGTTATATTTTTTAATTTTTCATGTATTTTTTAATAATTAAAAAAAATTTTAGAGTATTTAATAACCACATAATTAGAAGAAGCATTTCATTATAACAGCATTGATGTATTCAATAACAATTTTCAGAGCTAAGATGCATCTCTTTCAAAATTGGCTATAAATTTTTAGGTTTACAGTTGAATTAATACAGTTATACAATACTGTACTCAGTAAAAACCCTATAAGACAAAGTTGAATGAGGTTTTAACCTTTATAAAAGATCTCCATTTCATTATTGAAATACACAGTTTCATACAGAAAAATTCATTTTTAATGCAATTAACACTAAGATGTTTGCACATACAATTCTAATCTCTATATATCTGATTATTACTAGTCACTGTCAGTTACTTTCTGAGATCCTTGGCATCTGAGCATGGATACAAAGTCATCAGGTAGATATCAATGGTAATATTTTTCACATCAACTAATTATTAAGGAGCAAATTGTTATGCTTTGAAGAATGAAGAATTATTTTTTAAATTATTTTTTAAAAATTTAATAATCACATGATTAGAAGAAGCATTTCATTACAGCTTTAACATATTCACTAACACATTCCAGAGCAAGGATACATCTCTTTCAAAAGTGGCTGTAAATTTTTAGGTTCACAGTTGAATTAATACAATTATACAATATTGAACTCAGTATAGACCTTGTAACTGTGGTGAGTCACCTGTACTCTTGAGAAAGGAGGCCGTGGAGACCCCACCAGATGGACCTGAACCACTGTCCAGTCTACAAAGAGGAGTGTCAACGCAGAGGAAATAGTTCCTCCATGCTTCCAAGTGAAGCCAGCCATGGTCAAGTAGGACCTTTGACATATCTTCACATAGATGGAACTGGTGAAAGAAAGGAACCAGGGGCTCCTCCCAAGCCCATGTGACCCCTGAGGAACAGATCCTCAAACAGCCTTAAGAGTAAAAATAAATTGTTTTATCTGGGCGAACTGTAGGGTCTTAAACAGCCAAAAGGAAAGTATAACCAAAGATTAATTCAGTCAATATAATTTTCAATAGTCCATATGTTTCGCTAAAGGCTACATAACAAGAAACAATGCCAGACAGGAGATACCTTCCTCTGAGTTATTGGCCAAGGTGGCTCAAGAGACTCCCAGACAGTAACCCAGCACAGAACTGGGAAAATGAACAGCAGACCCCAATATTATCCAAAGAAATATTGACAACTGATTGCTGCTAGATGTATGTAATGTTCACCCAGTGAATATTTTCACTAGCTCATCTACTACATGGAATCTGAGATCTATTAATTTAGAACATGCCCATTTCAGAGACATCAGTTCTCAGTATGTGAGAACTATCCCCAAGATGTCAAGAAGCTAGGGAAAAGATGCAGAGCTCAAGAATAGCAGAGACTACCAACAAAAGTGCACCACTGGTTATTAAAATTAGCAAGGGGATCTTTACAACTTGGGTCAGAAGGAAGTGTGTATATATTACTTAAGACAAAAGTGACTTCAATCAAACCATATTATCACTGGCTTAGTTTAAAGCAATACCATAGAGTTAGGCATGTTCTTAGACCCAGTTGTAAAGCTGTACATGTCCCTATAATGGTTTTACCTATTTATGGCTTACTGACAAACAATGGAAAAAGTCATTGTCATTCCTCAGGGGCCATTGCAAAGATTATAATGCAACATGGCTGCTGTCATGTCAAGCTGAACGCGCAGTTCCCATTGCAGTAAAGATTCCGTGTACTCCTCAAATATGTTTGCTTAGTTCAATAGATTTTGTTTTTCAAATATTCAAGGTATTGAAAATAAACTTTAAAAGTTTGCTTATCATCTAGTTAGGCTAAGAAATAAAATTGTTAATCATCTTTCATCTGCCTTCTTACACGACTCCTAAAAGAACCACTATTTTAAATTTCATATTTTCATTTCCATCTACTTATAAGATTTCCCAAGTTTCGTGCATGTCCATTATAAAAGCTATCAAGCATCTATGACTGTGAGCATTTTCTGGGTATTGCCAATAAGTGACAGTGTAAAGCATTTGACAGCCTCATTTAGCTTTAGGTTGTTATTATTTTGGTTTCTAATATCTTTAGTATCTGTTAATTGCACCTGAACTCTCACGAATAATAATGCAAATATAAATTAAAGTAATAATGTTTCATTTCTATCCCCTTTGGCACTAATTTTTAATATTCAATAGGTAGTTATTCAAATATTAACACTGACTTTGTCTCACTTCCTGAATGTCTCCTTAAGGAATATATCAACAATGCTAAAATTTTATGTCTTAAATGGAGAAGATGATTTGTAATCACGTGTGTCCTAAGCCCAAAACTCCAAATAGTTTTTAAAATGGCATAAGTTGTAAAGGTTATCAGGTTCAAAGTGGAGATATTTGTCAAGCCGTCAGTAAATAAAGTAAGGAGGCAAGCTGAGAAGTGATGAAGGAGAGCGTCTAATATGCATAACATTGATGATAATAAGAACATTCACAACCCTGCCAGATCTCTGCTGATAGTGAGAGCCGGAAGGTCTCAGAAAGACGTAACCCAGATAGATGCCTCTAACCAGGGCTGCGGGTTTTCTCAGTGTCAGCAAAAGAATTAGAGAGGAGATGAAGTAAGAAGGAGCGCGTGAAGCCCTGTGTATTAGTTCACCTTTTATTTTTAGGACAAAACACCATAACCCAAGCAACTGACTGAATTAACTCAATTTGGGATTACAGTTCCCAACAGATGAGAGCTCATCATGTCAGGAAGGCAGGAGAACAGAAGCAGGAAACTGGAGCTCATGTTTCCAATGGCAGACACAAAAACAGAAGGCAAACTGGAACTGGAGCAAGGCTACAGTTCCTCTCAAACCCACCCTCCAAGGATTCCATGGCCCCACAGATTCCACGACCCTCCCCAAATAGCACCACCAACTGACCAAGTATTCAAATACTTGAGTCTATGGGGAACAGTTCTCGTTTAAGCCACACACAGATTTTCTTAGTAAAAGCTCACACTTGAGAGGAAACAATGGCTTCCCAGGATAGCAGGCTTCATAGACTCTGTTTGGTGGGCTTTATTGTAAAACCGTGGGATGTTGTATAATTTTACATAAGATTATTTTAACTTTAAGAGAATTTTTGATTTGAGAATTTCATACAATGAATTTTTCTCATAGCCAAGCTTCCTTACTGTTTTCACCCTCACCCTATCACTCCGCACCCCCACCCCAACTTTGCGTCTTCTGTTTCCATATGAAAAATTCCATTCATATTACACAACATATCTGAGCTGGATGCCAGGAAAATCATATCTCATTAGAGTGTCAGTGATCTATAATTCTTACACAGAGGTGTGCCAGAGTAAGCACCCACTCCGTTTCCTTTGGACAAGGAAATGTTTTGGATGACGACATGCCCAGGTTTCTCTTGAAAGGGAATTTTCCTTCTTAATTTCTGTTTCTCTTACACACTGCTTAGGAATGTCAAGTTGGGATTTCTCTTTTCCTCAGTGATCATAAACACTTGGTTTTATTAATCAAAATTCATTTTCTGAAGCCCTTAGATGCAGGTTACATTTAGTTTTTTCTAGTCCTCACTCAACACAATGACCCACTGTGTACTAAGGCATTCTCTAACAGACCGAATCACTTCAGGGTTTTGCCAAAGGGAAAAGGAGAAGCTAGGACCTCAGAGCAAACAACAATTAGCTCACAGACATGCAGTCCAAGATTCTCTGAGTGGCAGGCCAGAGTTTTCAGGGCTGCACGACAGCCTGACACCAGTGTCCTCCAGTTTATTTTCTGAAATCTGTATCCTAATGTTGAGGGCTTCA